GATTTATGAAAGATGTGGTGCAATGGTTCTGAGATAACATCTGCCAGCTCCTTCAGAACTGTAGGATGTAATATGTCAGGTCCCGGTGATTTATATTCGTCAAGATCGGATAGGTGTTCTCTTACCATTTTCTTCCTTATTTTAATTTTTCTTTCTAGATTGTCTTTTGCAGTGTTTTTTTTTGTACGTTGGGCTATAGTTTCTTATATACATACAGACAGACAGACAGACACACATACACATGTATACACACGTGTGTATGTATATATGTGTGTATAGACACATACACATGCACACACACATACATACACAGATACGTACATCCTTAACTAGCTTACGGAATGATCTGAAGAAGTTAAGAAACTGGAAAAAGTCAAAGGATTGATGGGGTCTCATCCATGCAAATCTTCACAAAGCAAGACTTTTCTCCTATCTAGCTGATCTTTTACACATAAAATATATGCCCTTAATTATAAGCATCTTATTACCCCTTACAACACTTATTTGTCTCAATGCTATTACAATAGAGAGAACCAAGGACTTCTAGGTTATTTGTTTCTGCTTCTGTTAGAAGATTTTATTTGTATTATTGAATCTTACCACTTGGGAGAACATACCATGACTGCCCCAAGAGGTATGCAGTGTTCTTATTTTGCTGCTTGCCGGTAGATAAATAAAATAAATTCTAAGTCCTCAGAAAGTGTTAGAAAAGAAACTTTTTTCCAATGGTGCACTTCTATTTCAGGATTCTTGCCCTTTCATTTTTCTTCCAACCACGCTCTCTGATTCCCAGTCTTATGGGTGGCAAACCAAAGCAGATTAAGTGAGGAAAAGCTTTAGGTTTATTCTTTATGAGGGACATTGTGCAAATCCAGTTCTAAGTGGTCTTGAGAATAATTTGGAAGACTGAAGATGAATGTTCTAAACAAACAAATTTGAACACAACAAAATAGCTCTCTACAAATAGTATATACATTGAAATAGAAGGGAGGAATTTCTGGGAGAGTAAATCAGCAGGTGACTTAGTTCATCAGGTCATAATCAGTGGTGGGATTCAGCTAGTTCACACCATTTTGGCAGAACTAGTAGTTAATTTTTTGCTGCCCAGGCCCAGAATGGACTTCCGGAAACAGCATCCATAAAGAGAACTGGTTGTTCACATATTTGAATCCCACCACTAGTCATAATACAGTACACTTTAAGGGCACAATGATGGAGAAAACTGATATCCGGTTTAGCAATTAAACTAGACAGACTCTGAGGGAAAAAAATGGATAGATACTGTACAATGAAATTATAATTCCAGGCATAAATTCCAGAAAACCACATTCAGAAAAATTATTTTATTATATTATATTGTATTGTACTATAACCAAATACAATCTAGAAAAACTGATATAATCCAGTTTTTGCTATTTAAAACAATGCTTTATTGAATTTACTAATAATGACCTGCAATATTCTATTTTCACAGCAAGGTGCTAAATTAACTCCACTAACTGTGTCATCATGGCTGTAATTTACATGATATAACATTACAGTTAATATATATTATAGTAATTTGCACATGTTTTCAGTAGTACTGTAGTATGAAAAAATTATATGATGCAGTTATTAAGGCAAACTGTTTCATTCCTACATAAGTTCTCTGACAGCAACTAAAGTCCTTCCAAATTACAAATGAAATAATGCTTACCATGCTCAATTGAATAACAGGCATTGGTTCTGTTATTTTATTTTCTTATTTTCTTCTTGAGTAGAGTAGGAAGGAGAAATGATGTGAAAAATGTTCACCAGAAACACAAGAAATATTCAATCCCACTTGGAGCAAAGAACCAAAACCCTGCTCAAGGCTTATGTTGAATATAGTTGAATTTCTTTGAAATCTACTGCCCTGGACAAAATGTCTATATTCTTTGAAAAAGATGCAATTGAATCCTTACTTACCTTTTGTCCTTTTAGTTTTTAACCAATATTTTAACCAGGAAGAAAAGATTAAAGGAGAAAACCCTTGAGATAACTACTTTGGGAAATGTTCCTATAGATTTAAATGAATTCCAAAATGAACAAGAGAACAAAGGGAAAATCTCAACTGAGGTTTTACTTTGATGAGTAAACAGTTATGGACAATATTAATAAAACAGATTCCATTCTACATGACTTAATCTAATTCTACACTTCAAGAAGGATACTGATATACCCAAAGGAAATCATAGTAAAATATTCATTTCAGGACTATAATTTAGCACATCATCCCAAAATAGGCAACATATTGCTGGTGAGGGATATATTATGGAAACACATCAAGAATAGCTTTGATTTAATCCCAAATTTTGTTTTTTAATGACTAATAGGGGGATTTTCCACACTGCTGCTTTAAACTGTTTGACTCTCATGCATAAACCAACTAGACAGGAAGTTTGATTAAGAAATCCTTTTTCTTAATCCTATTTCATTAGTGAACTTGTTTTAAAAAATGGCCACCAAGAGCAGCAAGTGAAAGTGATGGAGAGAAGAGGTTCTAGCTACTGTGTAGAGTAGTGAAGGTGTTTACTTATAATGAAGGCAGCAAGCAAATCCAACAGCATAGCTTGGATGGGAATAGCTGGAAAACATTACTTTTGACACATAGCAGAAGAGAAGTAATGAAAGTTGACTTCTTAGTGGGCTGCGGGCAAACAGAGGATAATGTCTAGTTTGTTCTAGTGGTTAAGGCACCAGGCTAGAAAGCAAAAGAGTGTAAGTTCAAGTCTCGCCTTAGCCATGAAAGCCAGCTGGGTGACCTTGGGCCAATCTCTCTCAGTCCAACTCATTTCCCAGGGCTGTAGTTGTGGGCAAAATAGAAGGACGAAGGCATGTTGGATATGTTCGCCACCTTGAGTTATTTGTAAAAATAATACTAGGATATAAATAACAAAATAAATAAAAATGCTAGGCAATTCTGCCCTTAAGGAATACTCCAACCTCATTATCTGGATGGCATGAGGCTGGTCATGCAGATCAACCCAAAGTCTGATTTACTTATCAGTATCCAATCATAGGGATAATGCAGCATTCAAATGAGAGACAATTGTGTTAATTTTAGAAAAGGTAATTCAGTCACATCCAAATCAGGAAGCAGGATCCTTTTTTCATCTACGTGCTTTAGAATTGGTGTGTTAATGGTCCATGTAGGTATGCTTATGTTTCAAGATCCCTAAGAGTAGAGACCCAAAGATATGTCTGCCATTCTCATTCTGAAATTTCCATATTGTCCAAATATATTGTCCAAATATGAAATATTCCAGAGGTTTTCTATCCTTCTTGACAATTATATAATATTAACATGGTTTTTCTTTAATCTTTGTTTTTTAGGAGGGGACAAGTTATCTGAATTATTGCTCTCTTACTTAAGAACAGTAACAAAACAAAAATGACTGGCCTAATTATCAATAAAGTAGGAATGCTAGGACCTGTGTTTATATGCTTCAAGTATATTTTAGTCTGCTTTATTTTTTAATAATGCAAAGAATAAGAATTAAGAAATATTTAAGAATCAATAAGAACTAGTGTAAGAGACAGAGGGAGGGAGAAAATATGATATTCTTTTGATACTCATCTATTGAGACAGGATAGCATAAGTGGAAGCAGGCAATGGGGAGAGGAGAATGGGTAAACCCTCCTTCTCTCTGCAAGCCTTTCTTCTCTTTCTGACAGCCTTTTCTCTAGGAGTACACAGAGTTCTTGAACTTAGCCTGGGACCACATGAAATAGGCTGATCTCAGGAAGGACCTTCCCATCCCACCTGAAACATCTACTGTATAGCATTATTCCAAAGCTATTATTTTCCTGGGCTCCAAGATCACCTCAGATGGGGACTGCAGCCAAGAAATTAAAAGACGCTTGCTCCTGGGGAGGAAAGCTATGGCAAATCTAGACAGCATACTAAAAAGCAGAGACATCACCCTGCCAACAAAAGTGCGTATAGTCAAGGCCATGGTTTTCCCAGTTGCAATGTATGGATCTGAAAGTTGGATCATAAGAAAGGCTGAGCGACAAAGAATTGAGGCCTTTGAACTATGGTGCTGGAGAAGACTCCTGCGGGTCCCCTGGACTGCAAGGCGTTCAAACCGGTCAGTCCTAGAGGAGATCAACCCTGACTGCTCTTTAGAAAGCCAGATCCTGAAGTTGAAACTCAAGTACTTTGGCCACCTAATGAGAAGGAAGGACTCACTGGAAAAGGGCCTAATGCTGGGAAAGATTGAGGGCAACAGAAGAAGGAGACAACAGAGAATGAGGTGGCTGGATGGAGTCACTGAAGCAGTAGACGTGAGCTTAAATGGACTCCAGAAGGTGGTAGAGGACAGGAAAGTTGTCCATGGAGAAACGTTGTCCATGGGGTTACGATGGGTTGGACACGACTTTGCAATTAACAACAACAACAACAAAGCCACAAGCAACAACAAAGCCATAAGCAAGGGTCGGCTCTTGAGTAGCTGTGTGGATTTAAACAATATAGCAAAGACTATGTATCTTTTAACCACACATCACTTTTTTTTTATTCTAGGACAGAACACCTTGCACTGATGTTTACCATCAATCATGGCAGATTTTCTAGCATTCCCCCTTAATATCTGACCTGCTAGCAGCATCTGTGCAAACTAAGTTGAGAAAGAACAAATGAAATGTGAAGGTGCAGGAAGGGAGATAACACCACTTGAAAGAAATACACATCCATATAAAATAGACCCCCCTAGCCATCTCATCATAGAAATAGTATTGCAAATTATGTGAGTTTTTCTAACCTCTGCAACTAGAAACTGCCAGGAGGCTCTTAATGTAGAAATACTTTGCTTAGTCTACTTACCCTTTGCCTCATTTTTCGTATGGATTCTCTAAATTACCATTAGTTCCTTTTAGCTAACAGTTTCACTGGCCAAATATTTATGTCACAAATGAGAACATTAAAAAAATCATTTTTGATACATCAAATTAGCACTCAGGCGAAGATCAATACTTACTTTGTTGCCCAAATAAGGACTCGGTGCACTCCAGTAATAAATAGGCTGCAGAACAGTTCTTGCAACTATGTTACTGATGCTCAGTTGCTGAGGTCCATCGAAACTGTCCTGCTGAGGAGTAAGTTTAGCAAGGCCCCGTTCATCAGTCAATTGCCAGCCATTCATGTCCATAATCTATGACAACAAAGAAAAATACTTGTTAACATCCACAATCTTCCTTCTTTTTTAAAAAAAAAATCTTTGCTTTTTGCCTTTTGTTTGCTTTCATATTAATATTAACAATAATATCCCACTTTTATTTTCTGTCAGGGTAATGATTTAAAGGCTAAACAGCTTATGTAATGATGTAATGTAACATACGGTGGATGATGCAATAATAGGAATAACTCAACAGGGTCTGTGTCTATGCCTTTAAGAGCCTGAGTATAAAAGGGAAGGCTTTTACTGTTGTGTCTCTCTCTCATCCGTTTCCTGCTGTAATTGCTGTGTTTACTGAATCACCACGTGCATGTATTTTGTTTCTGGTGTATATTGTAGATAGTGTAATATAAACCACCATTTAATACAAACCAATGTTTACTGTATTTACTCCTGGGTTACTTCAGCGCAATAAGACTGTGCATGCTCTAACATTTTCCACAATTCAAGGCAGTGTATAAAATCCTCCCATCTCCTTGCAACAACCCTTGATGGATTGTACTGAGAGGGAATGGTCCAAAATGGACCAATCAACTTTCATGCTTAGAGAGGACTAGAACTCATTAGAATAGATAGTCTCCTGATAGTCCAGCACTTTAACCTCTACACAAAACTGGCCCTTAATAATTTCTCATTTAATATTGAGAATAGGGTTTACTATACTTCTCCTTGAGAAAATAATTAACTAATTTCCCATACTTAGGCAAATCAAGAGGAACAGAAGTTTAAGTTTGTAGTATTAACTGAACACTTTTTTTGGAATACACATCAATGAAATAAGGAGAAAAGCTTTTTGAGAAGATATGATAAGGTCATACTATATACATTTTAAAAATCCATGGTTGATTTGAACATGGCAACAGAAAGAAATGTTTAGTAGAATGTTTCATGGCTCACTGAAGTTTTCTCTTCATATTTGAGGAAGCTAAGAAATTAAAAGGGCAAAAAGGAAAAGAGTCATTTTGACTCATTATGATTTTATAGATGCCAAACTAATAATGAGATTGAAGTTGCATTGAATGCATTGAAAAGAATGTTCATATTAGATGCATTTCGTTATGGAAAAATTAGCCAAATTCTATATATATATATATATAAGAATAAGACTATGATCATGCACAGAATAGGAAAAAGGGAAACATTATCCTATTAATATTTGCTACAGAATAAGGATTTGCCTGACAATTATTTTAGCAAGAATCTGTAACAAGTCTCTGTCAAAACCAGACAGGGTTAGGGATAGGAATGGAAACTTGGCTTTCTGTGTGAGCAAGGAAAGAAAGAATAATGAAATCACCCCGTAACTGGAAATGAGAGAAGATAATGATGCACTAAGATCAGGGTATTAAAATCCAACATATGTCATATGAGAGGGCTTTTCTTGAAGGCAATGACTAATATTTCCTTCAAAGGGAAGAAAATTCTTACATGCCTTCTCCAACAACAAAAGCCTGTTTCATAATGATAGGAAAATGTTTTAGTCTTAAACTTTTTGTCCTGTATTTTTCCTGCTCCCACCTTGATTGACATCACTGGAAAAATGAGGGGCTGGTTGAGCTCATAGCTCACTTTCCCCAACATCTATAACTGATTGAGACAGGAACTGAAAAGGAAAAAAACAGGAGGCAGTGGATCTACTGTATATCATTACACTGACAGCATTTCTAATTGGAAAGAAGCTGGCTCCTTACAAAAAAAATAAACTAGAATTGAAGAAGCTTCTTGGATGAGAAGTGAAACATTTTCAAATGGAAAAAAAAACAAAAAAAGTCCAGTTGCCGCTTGAAAAAGTAACTTTGGGACATTCATTTTGTATGTGTATACAGTAAAGAAAGGTAAAACATATCTAAGCCAAACATTTTTCCCAAGCTCAACTCAGTTAGAGCACTCTTAATTAGTGAAATGCTTGAGGATAAGATGTCAAGCCCAAATTGAGCCGAATTATTTATCGCCTGAATTTACAAATTGCTTGCGATATCATGGTGAAGTACTACTTATAAGCCTATAAGGGAGTTAAGCCCAGAAGAGTGCTAGCAGTGGACTTAATTAAGTGGTCATAGACAGTATAAGTAATAGGAAGTAATATGTTACATTACTAGCATTTTGGCAAAGCTTTTAAGTAGTATTGCATGATTTCCTTGCTTATGTTATGATAATCTCTGCTACATTTAACACTCTTAAAAGGTAATCCTTGACTTGTGACCATAATTTCTGTTGCTAAGTGAGACATTTGTTGTGATTTTGCCCCATTTTACAACCTTTCTTGCCACAGTTATTAAGTGAATCACTACAGTTGCTAATTTAGTAACACGGTGTGATGTCTCCCTTTGGTGACTCCCCAGATTCCTCCTCAGATATCAGGGGAGGTTGAGCACATTCCCTGCACGTCAGGAACTGGGTTGATTGATGGTTCTGAACAGCCATCCAAAAGAGATTTAGAGGAGGCTTCAGCTGGGGAAAGTTTGCAGTGGCAGATGGCCAGTGAAGAGGATGAGGAACTGCCTTCTGCACTTAATCCGAGAACATGCAGAGCAGAGAAAATGCAGGAGCAGCAGAGGTCAGCCAGACTACTCAAGAGGAGAAGACCCTGCCCATCTTCATGGGCTGCACCAGAAAGCTGGCTATTTATCACAGCAGACACAGGGAGGTGTTGCTGGAATGTGCTGGTTTTCTAGCTGTTTGTTTGTTCGTCGTGACTCCTGCTTCACTCTGGATGGGCACCGTTCCTTGGAGACTCGGAACTTTTTTTGCTATGTGATGTGGATTTAAGTTTTACCTGGTGGAGTTATTTTGTTTGAGCAACTTTTAATTGTTTTGTGGGCTAATCTTGGCCTGCTCATGGCTGGACTTAATTGGGACAGCTCTGAGTTTTGGTGAAGGGAATGCCTGGGGAATATTAAGTAAACTCACTAAACCACAGTTACGTGCATGGGTGAACGAGTGGGGCAGCACACGCGGCTGTTTAGTGACTCTGGCTTTCCCATTGACTTTGCATGTCAGAAGGTCGCAAATGGTGATCACATGACCCCAGAACATTGCAACCATAATAAAGATGAGTCAGTTGCCAAGCGTCTGAATTTTGATCATATGAAAATGGGAATGCTGCAATGATTGTAACTTTGAACAATCACTGCATGAACTGTTCTAAGTTGAGGACAACCTGTAATGCAGTTTTGTTTTGGTTAAAAGTTGTTACATTGGAAGAACACCAATACTTTATTCATGAATAAAATAAAATAAGAACGTTAACCAAGTCATGTTCAGAAGTTAAGTCTCAGCCTTAGCAATAATCCTGGGATTCACCTTTCTTGAATAACCAGCTTTATTTGCTCATCACTGTTTGCAGTTGTTACTGAATTGTCAGTTATGCAAAAAGTGTCTCAGCATGTAACATGGAATAATTTCATTACAATACAAAATGTCATATATTCTGATAGGCATATCAGATTTAAAGTCTCCTTTGTGATCACCTACCATTCTATAACCGCCATACCTTAGCATTACTAAAGACTGTATGCAAAAAGGTTCACTACTTCCTTTCTTATTCTCATGTATCCAGATAAATTGTAGCCAATTTGATATTTTCCTAACTATACGTTGAAAGGATGATATCTGCCAATCAAGGGTAGCATTTATTTGTATTATTTTCTTCAGATAAGGATTCAGCACTTACCAGACAGTGCCCTTTCCAGGAAATATAATTTGGATGAAAAACAAAAATCTACTTACTCCTGGCCTGAGTTTCTCTGCCCAGTCCAACTCTAGAGCACGGTGCTCATCTCCATTTCTTGGCCAAGAGAGTCATCGTTACTGAAGACATTTTCTGTGGTCAGCATGGCTATACGCCAAAGTGGTACCTATTAATCTACTTGCATTTGCATGTTTTCGAACTGCTAAGTAGGCAAGAGCAGGGGCAAATAACGGGAGCTTACCCTGTTATGTGGAGTTCAGCTCTCGAACCTGGTCTGTCAGCTATCTAGCTGACAACTCAGTGTCTTTAACTGCTGAACCATTGCGCCTAACTAAGAGAATTATATAAATTATTATTAATTTGCTTGATGATGTGAATGCTAATCAGCTACTATACAGAGCTGGCTCTGGAGCGGCTACTGCTAATTGTGACAAACTTCCTTCATCTGTGGTCATCTCCCACCACAATCCTGATATTTTTAGAAGGTCCACATCTTTTGGGGCTGTTACATTCCGCAAAACTTTCTTTCTATAATGCATCTTAATCATTTTTGTTTTTAAAAAATAATTCATCTCATTATTATTCCAGTGAAATATGCAGAGGTTATTGGTAAATATCAGAGTTAAATATTGAGCAGGTCACTATCGTCAGTGAGACAATGGGCAATGTCTTAGGGTCTGAACACAAATACACCAGCAGGTAAACATAAACTCTGTTCACCTTCACCTTCACTAGTATGCATATTCATTCATGCTACCATAAATATAAAAAAAAACATTACTCGTCCATGGATACATAAACTTAAAGCAATCTCAAAAACATCCATGTCTCTGGGCATGCAAGTGTAAATAGGGGGGCTAATGGTGACCTCAGATGTGTTGGTAGTATTTTCCTCCCACTCCTGATGGTGGGGGATAAACTGGGCAGCAAGGAAAAGTAGATACGGGCTTCCCAGTGTTTACAGTACAGTTTGTGTCTGAGGCACAACTGTAAGCGACTAGGCCAGTGTTTCTCAACCTTGACAATTTTAAGGCATGTGGACTTCAACTCCCAGAATTCCACAGCCAGCATTGCTGGAATTTTGGGAGTTGAAGTCCACATGCCTTAAAATTGTCAAGGTTGAGAAACACTGGACTAGGCTGTGGGTTATCCATCTATGAACTGTAAGATTAACTACAGATGTTTTTTTTTTGATCCCACAGCATCCTGTGCATCACTAGATTAGATCTGGAGGATTAAGGAATTTTCCAGAATAGAATGGAAGTTCAATTGTAGAAGCAGAATACATATTAATCTGTATATGTTTTATCTGTCTTATGTTTGAAGAAGCACATAATTTCCATATTTTTATAGCCCAAAACTAAATTTCCCTGAGGAAATTGTTTTGTTTGCATTTTTCACTTTGGTATGGATAATGGAACACCTCTCCAGTGTGAAAATTTAGAAAATTTGGCTTTCATCTCTAGGAAGAATCATGTTGTGTATTCTGAGGAGGGAAAATAGGCAAGTTAAAAAAATGTCCACAGAGTGAGTTTCATGTTGAGATTTTATTTAAAATAAAAGATACTCTTGTTGGATGTATGCATTTCTCTGCTTTTCCTTACCGTCCTGTAAGTCCATTGAGACTCTGTACAGTCATTTGTTATTCCTGAGCAGAAACATGCCTCACAGCCCTGGGGGTTTTCTTGCTGCAGGTTAAAGAAGCCGGCTTGACAGCGATCACAGTTCTTCCCTTCAACATAGACCTAGGAATTCATAGAAGAATATTAGATTTTTTTGTCATGCAGGAGAAGTAAATCTAGTTACCTCCTTGTTGCTTTTGCTTTGTTTAATATGTTTTAATATGTAATGATATATTTCTGTCAATAGGCAAGAGATAAAAGACCCAAAATTTCATCTCAGAGGACACTTAATGATCCAGCCACCATTTTAAACTATTTTTCTGATTGGTCTAAGTGCAACAGGAGACCACTACCACCACATTCAACATTATGATCAATACAGGGATATTTGGTTTGCATAGAGATATATTTACTGTGAAGCAGGAAACCACAATTCTAGTCCTTTGTAGATGCACAAACTACAGCAGCATCCCGCAACATAGTGTTTGGCACCAATCAGTGGAGACCTGTATGCACAGTGTAGGGATCACCCTTTGACTTTGATTTATCTCATTTTCAAAAGTGTGTGGGCTCTGCTTTCATTTGACTTCTGCTAAAAACAATTGCAGGCCATATCCAATAATACATTCCTTGTTCTACTTTAGAAACATGCAAATGTGTTGTTATTTTTTTTTTAAAAAAAGATAATAGGACCCTAACACTCTAGTGTGTAGCTTCACTATGGCAACCTGCTTTTATATATGTTGATTGAACTGAAATACAAAGCGTTAACTATATATTTCTTTAAAGAGATAGTTAGATGCTAGCACAGATTCCCCCCCCCCTAATGTAAAATAAGCACAGGGATTTACCATGGGTTATAACTCCTTCTTGCTGTGGTCTCAATCTGGATCACAGTTTTTATGCCATAATGTCACTCTACCCTCCAATTCAGCCAAGAAAGGATTATTTTAGAAAGATGTTCATCAAAAATACTGTGCACATTATTATAATTGCTGCAGTATGGTATGCCAAATATAGTTGACTGCAGGCCAGTGAAGGCTGACCCTTTTACGGAAATCACGATTCTCCAGCTACAGCCAGCATTGTGATTCTCTACTGATACACATCTATCAGAAATAATTCACTTGCCTTCCAGCTAAAGAATTGGATAAATGTACCAAAGTAAACCTAAAAGTAATTTCTGAACTGTACAATTTCTCATAAAAGAAAAGCAACCGAAGAAAGGGGGGAAAAAAGAATTTTAAATAAAAAGAGGAAAAGAGGGTATCAGGGCAGATGGTATACATTATTATAACTTTCTAATCCTTTTGACAGATCCATTATTAAAAGAGATATCAATGAACAGCACCACTTTCTTTTAAATTAAAACAGACACAGCCAGCTTCCAAAAAGGATGAACACAAGGTTCAGCAGTATTTATGAGGGATCGTTGTGGAAGCCTCCTTGAGTTAGTTTCATTTGTGTGAAGTTGACCTGTTCTCATGCTGCTTATTTGTGCTTACTATAAAGAAAGAAAATATGTCTGAGACAGAACAATCCTGCTTATCTGACCTCAAAGCTCTCGTCTCATCCTTGCTTATGTGTTTATTTCACATATTTATAGGGCCACCCATCTATCAAAGCCATTGTGGGAGGTGAATAGAGAAAAAAACCCACAAAATCAGAATATATAAGATAAGAAAATAAAATTGAGACTTCTAAAAAAGAAAAGAAAAGAAAGAAATCTCCCTAGAAACAGGGACACCTGCATCTATTTCAGATTAGCAACCTGGGCCAGGTGGCTTGGGAAGAGCCAGGTCTTCGTGGTTTTTCAGAAGACCACCAGGGTTGAGCCCTACCTGTTTGGGGGAAATAGGGCTGCAATGAGGGAAACTCTGGATTCTCTTAATGACAAAGCTCTGTCCAAAAGACTTGAGAGCTAAGAAAAAGCATCATAGTTTAATTCTCCCATCTGAAATCAGAGCACTCCATTTCTTTAACCTCAGATAGGGAAAATGAAATCATCAGCAACAGCAGCAGCAGCAGTAGTAAACCCTGAAATATCTTCTGTGGCATTTTAACTTCCAAACAGCTTCAGTGTTGGAAAATATGCATATATTATATACTTCCTGAAATTAATTTTAACCCACATTTTGCTTTCAAGGGGAAATTATGAGCATGCTATTTGTACAAAAACACCTGCCTATGTTCTTTTATACTGTCCTTATTACAAAGATATCTAACTGCAGCTAATAACATCCCATCTAGTCAAATTTCCAAGCCACCCAGATCCAGCAATTGTTGCTAATATGTGATTTTATCTTTTGTAATGTGACTGTGTTTTATTTCACTATTTGTAAAATACACCATAGTTCTAGCACACTAGAAAGGCACCTGGGTAGAAATGCATTAAGGGCTTTTTCTAGTGGTTTACGTTAACCATGGCCCATACCAGACCACTCTTATTCATATTGTTTTGTGCTCATGATAAAATTGCCCAGCTATATCCTATCTTTTCTCCAAGAGCTCAAACCAAATTACAAAAGGATTTCCCTTCATTTTATCCCATCAACAATCAGGTAAAAGTGAATGTTCTTATAGAATACATAGACACAAACCTGGGTCTCCTTGATTCTAATTAAACATTATTTATGTATTCATTTATTATTTAAGAAACGTATATGGCCACAAATCTTATATACAATAACCTTGGGCAGTTCACAAAAATAGCCATGAAAAACAACAGTAAAACAACCTGTGTCAACAGACTTGAGGATCCTAAAGAAATGGTGACTTGATGAGATGGCTACATTTATCTGCAACACCAAAGATGCTGTCTCCTATTCTTTTAAAAATATTGATATTTGTTTGTTCGCTTGTTGTTAAATTATGCTATGTTTTAATATGGTTTGCTGCAGGGCTCTGTTTTACTATGTGGCATTCAAAGTCATATTTCTGAGATGGGCAGCTATATAAATATGACAAATTAATTAGTAAATAAAACATCAGAGAAAAACAATTCCAAGTATCCAAAATTCATTCCCCAATACATTGGCATTTATATTTCCTGAGCTTCAGGCTCTCACTAGCCCAATGCTCAGGGGGAAGACCCAGTTTTTCAAGGCCTTAGGGACAGAGATGGGGGGCTATTAGCAGCAGTTTCTTTCTGTTACAAGTTTTTCTATCAATATTTAGATAATAAAATAATGAAAAACAATGATGTTATATAAATTCTCCACTGTTATCTGTTTTACACAAAGCCATTATTTGGAAAAGAAATCTGCTTTGACAAGAATAACTTGCTGGCATAATTCTGAGTAATTACTTCAGGTTAAAAGATCAAATCCACATTGGAAGAACTTCAAGATGTCATGGCATTTTGATACCATAGCACCTCGAGAAATATTTACAAAAAAGAAAACATTGAAGAAAGAAAGAAAAAATGCAATCCATACCTTGCACCTGCATGGTCCTTCGCAAGGATCATCATTCAAACTGCCTTTCAGAGAACAATTGCAGGGCACACATTGAGGAAAGTTTTTGTAACCCAATGCACACCGATCACACCTCTCTCCTCCAAAACCTGGTTTACAGTGACAGGATCCAGGATGCATATCTGCAGCACAATCAAGCCAGAACCAAGCTCAATATTATTAACGCAGTGGAAACCGAAATCTAAATGAGTTCTAACTGGGAAAGTTACCTATGTGTGGAAAATCGTGATCAAAAAAAGATTTATTTCCATCAATGTTTAATGAGTGGGGAGAAACCCCTCAAAAGATGATGTTGAATAATTGGCAATAAAAATAATTGAATTTATGGCATTTGGCTGGTTAATAAAAGTTTAGTTAATAAAATGAGAGTTAGGTTGCAGCAATGATGCTGATACCATAATAATGAGAAACAGTTACTGAAGTAGGAAATGTTAGAAACAGTGATGACATCATTGCATTTTTCTACCCGTTGGGCAGTATAAGCAACTTGTAAGTATGGTGCCTGCCACATGTAATTTTTTATTATTATTATTATTATTATTATTATTATTATTAATTATTATTATTATTATTATTATTATTATTATTATTATTATTATTATTATTATTATTATTATTATTATTATTTATTGAATTTATATACCGCCCTATCTCCCTTACGGGACTCAGGGCAGTGAACAGGCGATAATAAAAACCACGATAAATATACACAAATTTCTGTTCTAATCTTATAGGCATTGTGCCTGCTACATGCATTGTGAGGCAACATTCTCTGGTTCCTATATTGCTTGTTCACATTTTGTGTCAGATCAAGTGTAGTATGCTATACCTGGGTCTTTTCCTCTCAAAAAAAAAAAAAGCAATAATGCTACCATTCTACATCTTAGACATGGAAGACCTGGGCCGATGCCACCATGTTCTAACTTTAAACATGAACATACCTGAACTTTGATTTATTTTCCTTTACTGAAGTGTAGTCATGTGAGTTGCTTGTTAACAGAAATAAAAACTTTTATCAGCATAAAAATAGTGTTTAGTTTCTTGGCAGGTAGAGGTCAGAGGGAAAGTGATGCAGCAGAAGACATACAGTAAATGATTCAGGCAGTGCAAAATCAAAGTTTTTCCAGGAAAAATATCTATGTCATCTAAATGCCTGTGTTTATCTATAAAACTAGGTCCTGGCCAGTCTATGGATTCTGATTTTATAAAAACCTTCTGCAAACATGATAATGGAATCCTTTCTTTATTGCAGGGATAATGGGACTGATAAAGAACATAAAATGATCCTAGAGTATTTTGCTGCCATTATAACTACATCCCACAATCCTTTGCATTAATGCACAGAAAGACATAAGATATAAGCTAAGTTGACAAAAAGCCACTCAGTATCATCCCATCCCATTATCCTCCAAGAACAAAGTGTTCTTATTCCCCTTGGGGTAATAATTCAGAGATTTTTAAAACATTTTTTACTTCAAATAAAAACTTTTCCTTACTGAAAACTGCCCGAGCACTAAAACAGTTTATTTCAATACTGAACACCTAATATGCAATCATACTCATCTGCAAATATGTCAAGAACATCTATTGTCAAAATAAATGCATTTTCCAACCTTTCCTTCAAAGAAGGACTAACTTCTTCCAGGTTATATAGATTCAGTAAAATTGGGATCTTGGTGTTGTTTTAGGGGATATATGATAAGGACAACCAACATTTATCCTTACTTCATTTAAGCAGTTTGTAAGAGTGATTCATTATTAGACAGTATAGTGTTGTTTCTCCTAGTTTATCAGGTTGATAATAGAACATTTAACTCTCCCTTACTTTAATAAAGAAAGGGTTTCTGCAAATAAATAAATGAGTTTTTTATTAGAGTTACTAAACCTAAATATTTTATTCTCCCATAAAACCATACTGTACAGCTTCATACTGGCAGGAAGTTGACCTTATGTGTTAAAGAAGACTTCTTATCTAATATATTTATTAGATTCCTGCTTCTTTTGGACTTTTAACTTTGGTGTAGTCTTCCGTGTATCTTTTAAAAAATGTTTTAATATATTCACCAATGTGATAATATCAAAGAGATAACAGAATTAATACTATTCCATTCAATCTGCCGCATAGGAAAAAAAAATCCTTGTGAGGGCATTCTCATCTAATCTAATACTAACAACAACCAATCCTAAAAAATTGTTGTCAGCTGTTGTAGGCCACAATACAAACTGCCCTTACATATTACTAAGACTACATTATAATTTTACGCAGTTCATAATGTGTCATTTCACATATGGTCTTATTTTGGTTTTCAAGTGCAAGTAAAAGTGGAGAAAATAATATTGGGGATTTGAATTATGTCTAATTACCATCTCAAGAGAAGAAATCTTGCTCTTGGCAAAATGATTTAAAAAACCTTTTAGATTAGAATGATGTAAATGTATGGTGCTACTGTACAGCTATTTTTAAAGGATAATTGTGGACTGCACACCAGGGAAAATATATTTTTTATATTTTCATAGAGGTCTACAACAACAACTTTTTTTTTTTTTTTTTTAAAGATAAGATAGAGGAAAGAAGAAAAATTAAAAGTCCATTGGGGGAAAATTCCTGCCTTCATTTGCAAATGTCACAACATAGCAATACCAAAAGAAAACATGAGAGACAACAGCTTGGGTCTCTGAAGGGAAGCTCTGCGGGAACAGAGGCAAGCAAATTTCAAAAGGCTTTTTGCGAGATGATGTTTATCAGAGAAATAGCATGCTGAAAAGAAGCTACTGCTCAACGTTAATTTGGAAGATGTGGGACATAAAGTTTAATATCAGTCAAGCATCTCACCTCCTGTAGCTTGCTTTTCATCCTTGACACAAGTGCCATCTAAAGAGCCCACAGAATAACAGTGACACGGCCGGCATGGTTGATGATTCTTTGGATGAACCTATGGAAGCAAAATCAAAGCAATGAAGCAATCTACTGGTCCTCCTGATCATGCCACTTAACCTAATTTGGAAGCTCAAGCACTATCCTTCCCTTTATTATAAAGCTGGAGAGATTCCATGATTACTTTTCCTACTGATGGTTGCAATAATGTAACATGGATTTACTGACCAAAAATTAGATCTACACATTTATATCTTCATCCATGCAAACAGAAATAATAGCAAAAGGCCCTGTTCTTTCATTGTGTTTCTTTATATCAGGGGTACTCAACCTTGGCTCTTTTATGACTCGTGGACTTCAACTCCCAGAATTCCTGAGCCAGCTGGCTCAGAAATTCTGGGAATTGAAGTCCACGAGTCATAAAAGAGCCAAGGTTGACTACCCCTGCTTTATATCAACACACGTTACTTTTATATTCTATGAGAAACTTTCCTTTAGGTTTTCCCATTTTGAAAAGCAACTAGAAGGCTAGAGAGACTAGAATACAGTTCACAGTGCTGTATTTTCCCCCCACTGAATATGGTACCATCTGAAATGATGTTTTGGAATTCAAAGAACAGAGTTATGGATCCTTTACCCCTTTTGGCCTGAAGTATCCATCAATGCACATTTCACAATTGATGCCAGCAGTGTTCTGGGTACAGTTAATGCATATTCCACCTCCAAGATATTCTCCATGGATATTCAAACTCTGCTTTTTGTCTGCAACCATCTGATCATAGTAACATTCTTGTGCCTTCCCATGGCAGTTGCAAGCTAAAGAACGGAAGAAGTACAGTATATTAACAAGCATCACATCAGTCTGCACTCATGTAGAAACATTTTTTCCCCAGGAATTTACGATATTCTTTCATTGTTTTGATCCTAGTCCACCAGAGAGTTTCAGCTCTTTGAATTAATAAGTAGTCATTCACATATTATGCTGAGGAATTCATCATAGTATTACCTTTCAAAATCACACTAGGAGAAGGATCTTCCGTGCCTTTTCCAGACCTTCTGACAGTGGCAAAGTACCATTTTAAAAATCTATGTAGAGTTCCAATATTTTGTAAGTTAAATAAGTTGTTGAAAAAAATGTACTAAATGGACGGCTATTATTAATGGAAATGATTCTGGTACTCCAGAATAACTAAATATGGTTGAACCCTTTTAAATTCTGCACTAAAACGATGATGGCACTTCATTTCGTCTGGCCAGTTATAAGTTATTATGGACTACAATTGCTTTCAAGCTTATGCCATGAAAAAGTTTTCAAGATGTTTTCATTACAATATTAAAAATTGTCATTTACTATTAGTTCTAAGTTACTTATTAGGAGCTTGCATTGCATTATATTAACAAACAAAGAAAAATTAAACAGACCTAAAGGGATAGAATCTAAGAATATTATTTATTTATTTATTAAATTTATATACCGCCCTATCTCCCTTACGGGACTCAGGGCGGTGAACAGGCGATACTAAAAACCACAATAATAAATAAATAGTTTCTGTTCTAAAATCAAATTAAATAACAGGCCTGTTCTAAAAACACCCCATACAAAACCCCCACTAAAACATAATCAAACTACGCCAGGCCGGCCGCANGCTCGGCGAAAAAGGCGCAGGTCCGCAACTGTACGTAGGTCGGGGGGTAGGTCATTCCAGAGGGCAGGAGCTGCCACAGAGAAGGCTCTCCCCCTGGGGGTCGCCAGCCGGCATTGTCTGGCCGATGGCACTCTAAGGAGGCCCTCTCTGTGGGAGCGGACTGGTCGAAGGGAGGTGTTTGGTAGGAGGCGGTCTTGCAGATACCTAGGTCCATTGCCATGGAGCGCTTTAAAAGTTGTTACTAACACCTTGAAGCGCACCCGGAAGGCCACCGGCAGCCAGTGCAGCTCGCGCAGGAGAGGTGTTACATGGGAGCATCTAGAGGCCCCCCAAATCCCCCGCGCAGCCGCATTCTGAACTAGCTGGAGCCTCTGGGTGCACCTCAAGGGGAGCCCCATGTAGGGAGCATTGCAATAGTCCAGGCAGGAAACAACGAGGGCTTGAGTGACTGTGCGTAGGGCATCCCGATCCAGAAAGGGGCGCAACTGGCGTATCAGATGAGCCTGATGAAAAGCCCCCCTGGCCACAGCCGTCACATGATCATCTAAAGACAGCCAAGCATCCAGGAGGACACCCAGGTTGCGGGCCCTCTTCGCAGGGGCTAATGACTCACCCCCGATAGCCAGAGATGGAACCAACTGGCTATGACGTGATGGAAACCACAGCCACTCGGTCTTGGACAGGTTGAGACGAAGCCTGTTCCTCCCCATCCAGACTCGCACGGCCTCCAGGCACCGGGACATCACTTCCGCGGCATCGTTGGGGTGGTCCGGGGTGGAGATGTACAGCTGGGTGTCATCTGCATACTGATGAAACTCCACCCCGAAACCACGGATGATCTCACCCAGTGGCTTCATATAAATGTTGAACAGGAGAGGTGAGAGGACCGACCCCTGTGGTACCCCACAAGTGAGGTGCCTCGAGGTCGACCTCTGCCCCCCTGCCAACACAAATTGCGACCTGTCCGAGAGGTAGGAGGAGAACCACCGTAAAACGGTGCCCCCCAACCCCAACCCCCCTAACCGGTGCAACAAGATACCATGATCAATGGTATCAAAAGCCGCTGAGAGGTCTAACAGGACGAGGATAGAGGAACAGCCTCTATCCCGAGCCCTCCAGAGATCATCAACCAACGCGACCAATGCCGTTTCTGTGCTGTGCCCAGGCCGGAAGCCAGACTGGCGCGAGTCTAGATAGACAGTTTCTTCCAGGTGCTGAGGGAGCTGTCGTGCCACCACACTCTCAACAACCTTCACAAGAAAGCAAAGGATGGAGACAGGCCGGTAGTTGGCCAAAGCAGCTGGGTCCAGGGAGGGCATATTAACCACTAATATGTCCCATTATTTGAATGCAAAACTATATTTAATTTATCCTATTGAAACAAATGTATTGCATATGTTACAGTTACATTAATCTGCCATATATATATATATATATATATATATATATATATATATATATATATATATATATATATATATATATATATATATATATATATATATATATATATATATATATATATATGTTCGAAGGGTCACAAGCAGTGAGACCACCAGGAGATTAAAAAGTTACAAAAATTTATTGCTATTAAAACATTAAAACACCTAGCTTTCGC